CAAGAGCTGTGGGGAACAATGAGTATCAACAGTTACGGAACTGTCAGTTTCTAAAGATGAATCCAGCAGTGGAATTCTTTTCATTGGAGCAGCATATGGCAATGCTGGCAGCAGGAAAAGGTGAAAGTGTAAATTCTTACAGGTATCATGTTTTGACACGATTTTCTTAGGCAAAGAATGCACAGTTGTAATACACAATACTCCACACTGCTGTATATCCAACCAACATCAAAAACTGCTTGTGTATTATCTATATACAACAGACAAACCAAAAAATAGTGCATGGTGCTAAAAATGTATACCAACTAACAGCTCAATTGTAATTTATAATTCACACAAAAAAAAAATATATATATACACTTAAAGAACCCAATAAAAAATTACCATGAATAGTGACAATAAAATTTAGTATAATAAAGTGAAAAATGTCTAAAAAGTGCTAATAACAATCAAATATCGAATCCTTATCATAAGTGAATAATTCTGTATTTGTCATTATACATAGCAACATTCAATTTCAAATATATAGAGATCAGTGTAGCAATTTTCAGCTCCAATAAGGTCCTACATGTGAGCCACAAAGAAAAATGTGCTTTTACTCCAAGATGTCACTCACAGCCACACAGTGAAAAACCCCTTATTATGGTATACCCACCAAACCAGATGACCTTTATAGTGGTATTAAACCCAAAACCAACAATGTAATATATTGCAGCTTACCAATTATTAGATGAGGTGGCTGCATCAGTTTTCTTTTCTTAGGCTTTTGTTCCTCTGTTTTCACCCAGTGACCTGGCCAATAACACTCCTCATGTATTAGTGAGACACCACTCTGGATGAAGAAGCACAGGAGGTACAGCAGACAGTAGATTTGTCAGTCTGGGGGAAGGGGAGTGTTAGATGTACTAGCAGATTTGAATACATTAATAAACTGAAGCCAAACTCAAGCTCACACTTTACAGAAAACAGTTTTTTTTTTTCCTTTTGGAATAAAAGTTTTACATGAATAAATAAAAGCTGATCATTTTAAGCACCTCTGCCAGTGGTAAATGGTTTGTCTCATTGCTGTAAACTGATACATCTGGAAGAGAGCTTGTTTTTTCAAAAAATTACATACTGGTCAGATCACCTGGTGGGAATAGAAGAAAGAAAGCCTAAAAAAAGGAAACTAATGCAGCCATCATTGGTAAGCTACAATATAATAAATATATACTTTTGGTTTTAATACCACTTTAAGAAATGTCTGTAATACTTGCTGTCAGGAGAGAATTCCTTAGGTTATGGATGCATTAGAGATAAGGATTAATAATTTTATAATATTGTTTTGTAAAAGAATAGGACAATAGTTGAAAAATCATTAATAAAACCTCTTCTGGAATATGCAGTTTAGTTTTGGGCACCAGTTCACAAAAAGAACATTGGGGAAATGGAGAAAGTACAGAGAAGGGCAACCAAACTGATGAGACATGGAGGAGCTCAGATATGAGGAAAGATTAGAGGAACTGAATTTATTCTCTCTTGAGAAGAGGAGATTAAGGGGGGATATGATCAACATGTATAACTACTACATAAGTAGTCTGTATTTCGAATCTGGTGTAGAGTCATTCAATTTAAGGACAAGGGATGCACTCTTTATGTTTGGAAGAAAAGAGGTTTAACCTCCTTATACAGAAAGGCTTCTTCACAGTAAGCCCTGGTTCACACTGATGCAGTGCGGAATTCGCAACGTTTTCAGTGTGAATTCCGCACCGCATCACAATCACATCCCGTTCACATGGACCAATGCAAGTGTGTATGTTAAGTTAACGACACCCCCCCCCACATCGGTCCGCGATCCGATTCTAGTGCGGGCCAAAAATGGGTCCTGCACCTTCTTTTGCGGGGCGAATATAGCCATAAAAAATGGCTATATTCAAAATTTTTATGGTTGAACTGGATGGACTTTTGTCTTTTTTCAGCCAGGGTAACTATGTGACTAAAATGTATGGCCCGAATGGCACCGCATACAAATCGCATCTGATTTGTACAGGAATGCGGTGCGGTTCCTATGCACAGCACATGGGATTTTACCCGCACCTCATAAGTGTGAACCAGGGCTGAGAGCCATAAAAATGGAGACTAGACTCGCTTATGAACTAGTTCTGACCAGCTCAGTTGATTGTTTAAAAAAAATCTGGGTGCATTCCTGAATGTATAGAATATAACTAATAACATTTTTGGGTAATAACACCAGTGGTTGTTGATGTGGGACATATCTAATTGCCTTCGGGAATCAGGAAGGATTTGTTCCCCTGGTGGAGAAATTTAAACCACGCTGTAAAGGTTTTTTTGCCTTCCTCTGGATCAGCTGTAGGTATAGGTTTCTGCATACAGAGGTTTCAATGTATTCATTCTGTTTTATTATGATGGTTGAAATAGGTGGACTTATTTTTAACCCAGGTAACTAAGCAGCTATATGTTTGCCTAGTCTATAGATCCATACAGTTCAGTAAAATATAGCATAAGCCTGACCCAGGGTATCAGAGTCACTGACCCTCAAAAAAGGACTCTTGAGAGGTGAGCTCATCCTCACTGGGGTGCTATACAAATGAATGCATTTTAAGTGTCGGTTAACATATGTGGTTTGAACTGCAGCTAATCCGCATGAAATGTGAAATAACATTGCTTCCTGGAGTGCTTGTTCACATATGTCCGGTGCACTGGAAGCCTGGATTCAGTGCGGTTTGAAAAAGAGTCATGTTCGATTTAAAACATCATTATTTATTCCTTTTTAAAACAAAGGGACATTTTGCACAGACAGATGTTCAGAAACAATCAATAAAAAACAAAAACAGCCGGAAACGATTGATCTGTTCCCCTGTATGGAGTGAGGACACTGATCTGTCCCCTGTATAGGATGTGTGGGGTGAGGACACTGATCTGTCCCCTGTATAGGGTGTATGGGGTGAGGACACTGATCTGTCCCCTGTAGAGGATGTATGGGGTGAGGACACTGATCTGTATATTGTATGGGATGTATGGGGTGTGGACACTGATCTGTCCCCTGTAGAGGATATGGGGGGTGAGGACACTGATCTGTCCCCTGTAGAGGATGTATGGGGTGAGGACACTGATCTGTCCAATGTAGAGGATGTATGGGGTGAGTACACTGATCTGTCCCCTGTAGAGGATGTATGGGGTGAGGACACTGATCTGTCCGCTGTATGGGATGTATGGAGTGAGGACACTGATCTGTCCCCTGTAGAGGATGTATGGGGTGAGGACACTGATCTGTCCCCTGTATGGGATGTATGGGGTGAGGACACTGATCTGTCCCCTGTATGGGATGTATGGAGTGAGGACACTGATCTGTCCCCTGTATGGGATGTATGGGGTGAGGACACTGATCTGTCCCCTGTATGGGATGTATGGGGTGAGGACACTGATCTGTCCCCTGTATGGGATGTATGGGGTGAGGACACTGATCTGTCCCCTGTATGGGATGAGGACACTGATCTGTCCCCTGTATGGGATGTATGGGGTGAGGACACTGATCTGTCCCCTGTATGGGATGTATGGGGTGAGGACACTGATCTGTCCCCTGTATGGGATGTATGGGGTGAGGACTCTGATCTGTCCCCTGTATGGGATGTATGGGGTGAGGACACTGATCTGTCCCCTGTATGGGATGAGGACACTGATCTGTCCCCTGTAGATGATGTATGGGGTGAGGACACTGATCTGTCCCCTGTATGGGATGTATGGGGTGAGGACACTGATCTGTCCCCTGTAGAGGATGTATGGGGTGAGGACACTGATCTGTCCCCTGTATGGGATGTATGGGGTGAGGACACTGATCTGTCTATTGTATGGGATGTGTGGGGTGAGGACACTGATCTGTCCCCTGTATGGGATGTATGGGGTGAGGACACTGATCTGTCCCCTGTATGGGATGTATGGGGTGAGGACACTGATCTGTCCCCTGTATGGGATGTATGGGGTGAGGACACTGATCTGTCCCCTGTAGAGGATGTATGGGGTGAGGACACTGATCTGTCCCCTGTATGGGATGTATGGGGTGAGGACACTGATCTGTCCCCTGTATGGGATGTATGGGGTGAGGACACTGATCTGTCCCCTGTATGGGATGTATGGGGTGAGGACACTGATCTGTCCCCTGTATGGGATGTATGGGGTGAGGACTCTGATCTGTCCCCTGTATGGGATGTATGGGGTGAGGACACTGATCTGTCCCCTGTATGGGATGAGGACACTGATCTGTCCCCTGTAGATGATGTATGGGGTGAGGACACTGATCTGTCCCCTGTATGGGATGTATGGGGTGAGGACACTGATCTGTCCCCTGTAGAGGATGTATGGGGTGAGGACACTGATCTGTCCCCTGTATGGGATGTATGGGGTGAGGACACTGATCTGTCTATTGTATGGGATGTGTGGGGTGAGGACACTGATCTGTCCCCTGTATGGGATGTATGGAGTGAGGACACTGATCTGTCCCCTGTATGGGATGTATGGGGTGAGGACACTGATCTGTCCCCTGTATGGGATGTATGGGGTGAGGACACTGATCTGTCCCCTGTAGAGGATGTATGGGGTGAGGACACTGATCTGTCCCCTGTAGAGGATGTATGGGGTGAGGACACTGATCTGTCCCCTGTATGGGATGTATGGGGTGAGGACACTGATCTGTCCCCTGTATGGGATGTATGGGGTGAGGACACTGATCTGTCTATTGTATGGGATGTGTGGGGTGAGGACACTGATCTGTCCCCTGTATGGGATGTATGGAGTGAGGACACTGATCTGTCCCCTGTATGGGATGTATGGGGTGAGGACACTGATCTGTCCCCTGTATGGGATGTATGGGGTGAGGACACTGACCTGTCCCCTGTATGGGATGAATGGGGTGAGGACACTGATCTGTCCCCTGTATGGGGTGAGGACACTATTCTGTCCCCTGTATGGGATGTATGGGGTGAAGACATTGTCGGTGATCTTACTTGATCCGGAGGGCTGTGGTGGAGTTCCCAGTGTGAGCTCTCAGAGGGGCCAGGAAGAGGATTCTCATAGCTGTCAGGCCGGCTCTGTGCTGTCACTGTCCCCTGTCAGTGTGCCACGTCTCCACTAGTGTTCGGAGCTGTAACATCTGCAGAATACACATGGGTGGGGTATGGGGAGGGGGACACCGGACACCTGCACACCGATCACACCCCTCTCTCTGCTCACAGATTGGCTCCGTTCTGTAATGTGTTCCCCCCAGAAACTCCACCCGGCCTCTAAGGTTCCTAGCTGCATCTTTCCCTATAGTGACCCAGGAGGTCTGTACATTGTCGCTAGGCTGCTGAGTATTGGGGGGGTTCAGAGCACACTGAGGGCTGTTGTACTGTGAGTTTATTATTCTATACAGGGTAAGGTCAGTGCTTGGCAACTGCATGTCAGACACTCCTATACAGTAGTCACCTAAATATATATATATGTATATACAGGTGAAACTCGAAAAATTAGAATATCGTGGAAAAGTTCATTTATTTCAGTAATGCAACTTAAAAGGTGAAACTAATATATGAGATAGACTCATTACATGCAAAGCAAAAAAAGGAGATGAGTCCCTATACAGGGATATATATTGCAAACAACAAGTGCTCAGTTTACCATTCGCATTTGTTATAAATCAAGTGTAAAACATTAAGTCCATATAGTACCATTATACATGCTAATGGCAAGAGTAACACAGTCATTTTCTCCTTATACGGGTGCTCCAGTGTTAGTGCAAGCGGTGAGTGTAAATCCTAAACGGCCAGCATGCCCGCTCACCTTCCTGCTGCAACCCTACAAGGGTCAAAACACTTTTCGGATCTCTTTGGATCTCTCTGGAGGTAGGTTAGATATCACAGCCCTTTATTGGTCTCTCCTTCCCTTCTAGCTCCTCTTCCATGTACAGGTGACCATAGACTTACCAATACGTAAAGACCATGTGGGAATCATATAAGATCCTCCATAGTGCAATATTGTATTTATTGGCAGAATAGAATAAAAATCACCAGGTAATCAACTCACATTTAAGTAGAAAATGTCAGGCACTTTACACCACTAACCATGGGTGTACTGCAGACACTTTGGAGTCCTAAGATGGCGCTCACCAGAAGTGCGTCACCACGCCGCATCTACGCGTTACGTCACGCCCTCGTGACTTCCTCAGGATAGTGCATCAAGAGCCACCACATACAGACGGATCCTGGACATGGCTTCAAATGTCGTATTCCTCTTGTCAAGCCGCTTCTGAACAACAAACAGCGTCAGAAGAGTCTTACCTGGGCTGAAGAAAAACAGACCTGGTCTGTTGCTCAGTGGTCCAAAGTCCTCTTTTCTGATGAGAGCAACTTTTGCATCTCATTTGGAAACCAAGGACCCAGAGTATGGAGGAAGAATGGAGAGGCACACACTGCAAGATGCTTGAAGACCAGTGTGAAGTTTCCACAGTCTGTGTTGATTTGGGGAGCCATATCATCTGCTGGTGTTGGTCCACTGTACTTCATTAAGTCCAGGGTCAACGCAGCCGTCTACCAGGAGATTTTGGAGCACTTCATGCTTCCTTCCGCAGACGAGCTTTATGGGGATGCTGACTTCATTTTCCAGCAGGACTTGGAACCTGCCCACACTGCCAAAAGCACCAAAACCTGGTTCAATGACCGTGTGATTACTGTGCTTGATTGGCCTGCAAACTCGCCTGACCTGAACCCCATAAAGAATCTGTGGGGCATTGCCAAGAGAAAGATGAGAGACATGAGACCGAACAATGCAGAAGAGCTGAAGTCCGCTATTGAAGCATCCTGGTCTTCCATAACACCTCAGCAGTGCCACGGGCTGATAGCTTCCATGCCACGAGGCATTGAGGCAGTAATTTCTGCAAAAGGGGCGCAAACTAAGTACTGAGTACATATGCATGCTTATACTTTTCAGAGGTCCGATATTGTTCTATGTACAATCCTTGTTTTATTGATTGCATGTAATATTCTAATTATCTGAGATTGTGGATTTGGGGTTTTCATGAGCTGTAAGCCATAATCATCACAATTATGACAAATCACGGCTTGAACTATCTTGCTTTGCATGTAATGAGTCTATCTCATATATTAGTTTCACCTTTTAAGTTGCATTACTGAAATAAATGAACTTTTGCAAGATATTCAAATTTTTCGAGTTTCACCTGTATATACACATTATATTGCCATAAGTACTGGTACGCCTGCCTTAACACACACATGAACTTTAATGGCATCCCTTAGTCCATAGGGTTCAATATTGAGTTGGACCACCCTTTGCAGCTATAACAGCTTCAATTCTTCTGAGAAGGCTGTCCACAAGGTTCAGGAGTGTGTCTATGGGAATGTCTGACCATTCTTCCAGAAGTGCATTTGTGAGGTCAGGCACTGATGTTGGACGAGAAGGCCTGGCTCGCAGTCTCCACTCTAATTCATCCCAAAGGGACTCTGTGCAGGCCAGTCAAGTTCCTCCACCCCGAACTCGCTCATCCATGTCTTTATGGACCTTGCTTTATGCACTGGTGCGCAGTCATGTTCGAACAGGAAGGGGCCGTCCTCAAACTGGTCCCACAAAGTTGGAAGCATAAAATTGGCCAAAATGTCTTGGTATGCTGATGCCTTAAGAGTTCCCTTCACTGGAACTCAGGGACCAAGCCCAACCCCTGAAAAACAGCTCCACACCATAATCCCCCTCCACCAAACTTTACATTTGGCACAATGCAGTCAGACAAGTAGCGTTGTCCTGGCAACCGCAAAACCCAGACATGTCCATTGGATTGCCAGACAGAGAAGCGTGATTCGTCACTCCAGAGAACACGTCTCCAATGCTCTAGAGTCCAGTGGCGGCATGCTTTACACCACTGCATCTGACGCTTTGCATTGCACTTGGTGATGTAAGGCTTGAATACAGCTGCTCAGCCATGGAAACCAATTCCATGAAGTTCTCTACACACTGTTGTGCTAATCTGAAGGCCACATAAAGTTTGGAGGTCTTTAGCTATTGACTCTGCAAACAGTTGGCGACTTCTGTGCACTGTGTGTTTCAGCATGCACTGACTCCGCTCTGTCATTTTACGTGGCCTACCACTTTGTAGCTGAATTTCTGTTGTTCCCAGTTACTTCCACTTTGTTATAATCCCACTAACAGGTGACCATGGAATATCTATTAGTAAGGATATTTTACAGGTGGACTTATTGCAACCTATCACGGTACCACACTTGAATTCACTGAGCTCCTGACAGTGATCCATCCTTTCATATATGTTTAGAGATGCAGTCTGCATGCCTAGGTGCTTGATTTTATATACCTGTGGCCATGGAGATGATTGGAACATCTGAATCCAATGATTTGGAAGGGTGTCCCAATACTTTTGGCAATATAGTGAATATTTTATTATTATTATACAGTATTTATAAAGCGCCAATAGTTCGCTCAGCGCTGTACATTACAGAGAACATGTGACAGAACAATACCAATACAATGCAAAACATGAGGGGATCGAGGGCCCTGCTCTTTCGAGCTTACAATCTAGGAGGGAGGGGATGGTGGCACAGGAGGAGATAGCTGTGGGGGATGGAGTGGTAGGAAGAGTGGAGGAGGTCGGCAAGTTAGCAGGGGGCGGGGTAGGCTTCCCTGAAGAGATGGGTTTTCAGGGTGCGCCTAAAGGAGAGGAGAGTAGGTGATAATCTGATGGGTTGGGGCAGGGAGTTCCAGAGGATAAGTGACACCCTGGAGAAGTCCTGGAGGCGGGCATGGGAGGAGGAGACCAGGGAACTAGAGAGAAGGAGGTCTTGTGAGGAGCGGAGTGTGCGTGCTGGGCGGTACTTGGATATTAGGTCAGTGATTTAGTTCGGGGCAGTATGGTGGACAGCTTTGTACGTCAGCGTTAGGATTTTGAATTTGATCCGTTGCGCAATCGGAAGCCAGTGGAGGGATTGGCAGAGGGGGGTGGCGGAAACGGAGCGGTTGGAAAGGTGAATGAGTCTGGCAGCCGTATTCAGGATGGACTGAAGCGGGGATAGCCAGCGGCGAGGCAGGCCAGTGAGGAGGGAGTTGCAGTAGTCGAGTCGTGATATGATGAGGGAGTGGATGAGCTGTTTAGTGGTTTCTGGAGTTAGGAACGTGCGGATTTTGGCGATGTTGCGGAGGTGGAGTCTGCACGAGTTTGTTAAAGAGTGGACTTGGGGCTGGAAGGATAGGTTGGAGTCCAAAATGACACCAAGTACTCTGGCCTGCGGGGCGGGTTTGATGGTGGCGTTGTTGGACATGATGGAGAAGTCAATGGGGGGTGGTGTCCGGGCTGGAGGGAAGACAAGAAACTCGGTTTTGGAGAGGTTCAGTTTAAGGAAGTGGAGCGACATCCAGTCTGATATGTCGCTCAACAGGTGTGTGATTCGGGCGGAGACCGAGGGGGTGAGGTGGGGGGTTGAGAGATAGATTTGTGTGTCGTTGGCATAGAGGTGGTAGTTGAAGCCCTGAGAGTGTATGAGTTGGCCAAGGGAGGAGGTGTAGATGGAGAAGAGAAGGGCCCGAGGACAGAGCCTTGAGGGACCCCAACAGAGAGGGGGAGTGAGAGGGAGGTGGTGGCATTATAGGTAACGCTGAAAGAGCGTTGCGACAGGTAGGATGAGAGCCAGGAGAGAGCAGAATCTCTGAGGCCGAGGGAGTGTAGTTTTTTGAGGAGGAGGGGGTGGTCGACTGTGTCGAAGGCCGCAGAGAGGTCAAGGAGTAGGAGCACTGAATAGTGGCCATTAGCTTTGGCGGTTAGCAGGTCGTTGGAGAGTTTGAGTAAGGCAGTTTCGGTGGAGTGTAGGGGACGGAAGCCGGACTTTAGGGGATCGAGGAGGTTGTTGTCGTTGAGGTGAGAGCATAGGCGGGCGTAGACTAGGCGCTCGAGGAGTTTAGATGTAAATGGGAGCAGGGAGATGGGTCTGAGAATATATTTATATACCCACACATACATAGAGTAAAAATATTGGCACCCCTGCTTCTGCCCAGAAAATTGTTGCAATTACAAATGTTTAG